TAGAAGCCAAATGTAAAAGAGAAAGGAACTAGAGAATGAAAGGCAAAGCCCAGCCCAATGAACGAGATTAAGATTTCAGACATACTAAAAGGATTTATTCCCCCAAATTATCTCACCCACTCTCATCTGGAGGACTGGCATGAGATGAACACAGAACACTGGGGTCAGTGATGAAGAGATCATTTAATGGCTGAAGGAAGCTGTGGTTTTTGCCTTCTGCTATCTTATATACCCTCATAGGCAAACTCCACTGCAGTTTATGAAATATTCTGAAGATTAGGACATCATTTAGGGCTTTGAGTCTTATTCTATCCCAAGCCAAGGAGCACCAGTTTATTAAGATCCCAAATTCGCTGAGGTACCAGTCTGAAGGATTTTCCTGGAAAGAAGTCTTTCAACCTGAGGACCTAAGAGCCATTGTAAATAGCACAATTCTCTGGAGCAATCAGTGCTGTTAACTTTTTTAACCTTTCTACAATGAGAGCTACCCTGGGGGCATTTTTAAAATTTGTAATCACAAATTAAGATAAGATACCTGAATCTTATCTGATGTCAGGTACTGTTTCTCAAACCAATCTAAGGACCTTTGGAGTCTCCAAGTTCTCTGTCAGAGTTTTTTGAATAGCATTTTAAACTAATGATGATAACACAAACAGCAGCTGGTATCAGTATATTCTGCCTTGACTGGATGATTCCTTCCAAACTGAGAACTGCCAGGGGATTTCAGAACACTTGTCTGCAGTTGTACACAAAATGCTTTAATTGCTAATGGGGAAAAACAAACAAACAAAATGAGAGGTACAAGATGCAGTTTAAGATGCTGTGATTGTGTAATGCAGGCTTTATTGTAGCTATTTAAATACAAAAGTGTTGTAAGAACAAAGTCAGCATATGACATAGAACCATATGAACAAATCCAAATGAGAAGTCATGGATTTCTTGCCAAACTCCCCCTTTCTTGAGTCTTCTCCCATAATCACAGAATTGCTTAGGTCAAAGACTTTTTCAAGAATATTTAATTTCTAAATTTTTCCATTTGTACTTCTTGTCTACCCACACGTCTTCCTATCTCCTCTGCTTCTTCACTGGTATAACCCTAGTTGTGACCATCTCTCTCCCCTGGGCTCAGTCTTACTGATTGCTTTCCTTGCTTCCATGCTTGTCCATCTACCACCCAAAGTTATCCTGAATAACATTCCATTGTATATATATACCACAGTGACCTTTAAAAGGTCACTTCAAGTGGGACCAGTCTGAAGGTCACTTCAAGTGACCTTTTAAAATATAATATCAGGATAACTTTCTATTGAACATAAAATAAAATCAATCACTTTTTCAAGACTTCCAAGGCTGTAATGGGTTGAACTATGTCATCCAAAAAGATATGTCTACTTGAAACCACAGAATGTGACTTTATTTGTTACAAAGGTCTGTGAAGATGCAATTAAGGGAAATCTGATGATGAGATCACCCTGGTGAGGATAGACCCTACCCAATGACAGATGCTTTTTTAAGAGAAAAAGACAGAGAAACAGAGAGAAAAAGGCATTGTGAAGAAAGAGGCAGAGATAAGAGTTATGCTGCCACAAGTCAAATACCCTGAACACAGAAGCTGGAAGACGCTAGGAAGTCTCTCCTAGAGCTTTCCGAGATAGCAGAGTGTACAGATACCTGGATTTCAAACTTTTGGCCTCCATATCTGTGAGTTTCTGTTGTTTTGATCCACAAGTCTGTGATGATTTGTTACAGCAGCCCTAGGAAAGCGATGCAAAGGCCTTACCAACCTGGACTCTGCCTGTTTCTGTGATCTCGTTCATTACTACTTTCCTTGTCACTCATTACCTCCAATCACTGACCTTTCTCTGTCCTGCTCTCAAAAATCTCATTTCCATCCAAGCCATTTAGACTTTGTTCTCTCTGCCTGGAATCTCTTCCCCAAATCTCTCCTTGGTGGGTCCTTTATCCTCAACCTTCTCTTCGCAGCACAAATATTTTTTCTAAGTTGTAACACATCCTTTAACTAAATTGTCACCTTCTCAGAAAGCCCTTTCCTGACCACCTACTTAAAATTGCAACCCACCCTTCCTTTTATTTTTTCATAGCAGTATTTACCATTGGACATAATATGTGTTTTATTTATTTGTTTATTTATTTTTATTATCCTCTTCTAAAATGTAGGTTCATTAGGGATAAGAATTTTGAAAATTGTTCATTGCTTCATATTCAGTACCTAGAAGAGTTCATAAATATTTAATTAATAAATGAATTAGATATTCATTGAATAAATGAACTCAAAATTAAGTAAGAACAGCCACTATAAAAACCAGTATGGAGGTTCCTCTAACAATTAAGAATAGAATAACCATATGACCCAGCAATCCATCTTCTGAATATCTACCCCCAAAATTTGAAAATATTTATTAGTAAAGTTATATGCACCCCAATATTCATTGCACATTATTCACAGTGGCCAAACAATAGATAGTCAGATAAAGATGTGGTACCTATATACAATGGAATATTGCTCAGCCATAAGAAAAGATGAAATACTGCCATTGGCAACAACATGCATGTATTTTTAGATTATCATGCTAAGCAGTATAAGTTGGGCATAAAAAGTTGAGAAGCACTTGATTTCACTCATATATGGGATATAAAATAAAGCAATAAATGAACAAGACAAACAAAAAGAGAACTGTGGACACAGACAACAGTTTAGTGGTTACCAGAGGGAAAGGGGGTCAAATATATGGTGATGGAAGGAGATTCGACTTTGGGTGGTGAACACAGTGCAATATACATATTATGTACTATAGAATTCTACTTGGAACCTATATAATTTTATTAACTATTGTCACCCCAATAGCTTTTATAAAATAAAAAATGAAACGGGTAGTTCTGAGAATGTGGTGACGTTAGTAGCTTGTTAGTTTCTCACTTGTTGTTATTCATCTTACCTCTGCTGCACAGTCATTAATAGTCTGGCATGCATCAAAGGGAAGATGTTATCATTTAAAAATATATGTCAGTATCTGTTTTTTCTTACCCTGTTGACTCCACAATTACTCTACTGATGTCAGTTATATTGTTTTTATATAAATCAAAGATCATTCCAATTATGTAGTATGACTTCCCTTTTACTTAATGACAAGCAAGGAGAAAGAGGTAAGGTGAGCTTTTGAATGGTCATGAGGCGACAGCATATCTAAAAGTAGCTGCTGTTATTTATAACATAGCTTCTCAAAGAATTTTTAGTGCAGGACCAGTTTTGTGTCGATGCATACTCGTGCACATAATTTGAAAATATACATCACATGTACATAGTGAATCTCATACTGCACACATTTATTCTCCCATGAGGAATCTTTCTATACACGATGTACTCAATTCAACAAGGACATCACCACATGGAATTAACAGCATTCAGTACTCAGGACAGGCCATGGACACTGAAGCTGCAGCACCAGGAATCAGTGTGGCAAGCTTGATTTTCATCAGGGCCGTCTCATTTTCTCTGCCCATGTCATCCTTCACCCATAATCACTTTGTTTGAGATGTCTTAAGGAAAGGTCATGAAGTGGGAATTGAATTCCAGGTTGAAATTGCTCTGAGTAAAAGATAAAGTGCTCCCATCCTTTTCTCACTTTGTGAAAGAATGCTTCAGATATGGTTAGCAGCACTATTTCAATACGACAAAATCCCTACAAATAGCTCCATGGCAGATGGGTGTGATGAGTCAGGGGATATATGTAAGTCTGGCAAGTGAGGTACAAAGTAATGGAATATATTGGTCATGGGATTCCTGCCAGGAGAAGTGGAGAACCGTGGTGGGAAATGGGAAGGACAGCGATGGTCCCCAGCTATGTTTCGTGGCTCACAGGCCCTGAAACCAGAGATGGGAATTGATAGTGTTCATATAAACCAATCAAGTGTTGAGTCAGTTCACTTAATATTTGGAGCTAGACCTTTAGTTGAGTGTCGGGGAGGAGATAACAGTGATTTTGTTCCAAGGGAAGGGCACTGTAAATGCTGAACATCGGTGAGAAGCTATAGATAGGTCTCTGGTGGTTCTTCTGCTATCACACAGGGTTATAGCAATAGTTAGAAAAGACCAAAGTGGCCATTTCATCCCATAGAACAGTCTCCGTCTTTTGAGATTGCTTCTCATATGTCAGCCATTCTCTTCCACATCCCCCCAAAGAGAACTTAATGGATACTGGCACACTGAAACCTGAAGAAGAGGGAGAGAGCATGTCTGAGGGAGTACAGCTATGGTATGGTAGTGTCACAGGGATTTCCAACCTGAAAGTTCTGATGTAGGCAGGTGGCTTCTCAATTATAGTTCCCTCAAGCCGGCTATTGTCTTCGGAGTGTAGCAGTGTGTGATATATAGAAGATGTTTGCTGGAATATGAGATCCCACACATTGTCTGTGCCAATAGATCCTCTACGTGTGGCTGAATTGGTTATAGCAGTATTTTGAGATTCTACAGAAAACAAAAACAAGATTCCATACCAGAGCTTCAAGATATCATTGATATTTACTCAAGGAAATTGTAAATCTAGCGTATTGACATCCAGTAGAATTTCAGGTCCTGCAGATGGCTGTTGATGATGTTGGTAAGGGATGAGTTTGACAAGTAACTGTGGAGTTTAGAACTGAAAGGTAATATCTCTGGGTGGTAATTGATTAGTGAACCGATAATAAGTGAAGATTCTGTTTAATTTTTAAAAAATATTTATATAATACTTAAATATAATTTATAATATAATATCAAAAAAGCAGTTTTGCGACAAATGAGTTGCAACTACAGAAAGTAAGCATGAGCAAAATGCAGTAGTCAAACTTAAAAACATGTACCAGGGTACCGGTATGACCCTTACTGATGTATCGGCCTAGAGATAGTTCAGAGAGAAAGCTGTTAAAGATGTCAAACCACTTCGGAATGTCTTCATCTCACAATTGTATATCAATATAAATGTCATTGCCTCTGAGAGGCTCTATCTTCCAAATACTTTCCTAAATGCCTCCTTCACATCCTTGTTCCTCAGGCTGTAAATGAATGGGTTCATCATCGATGTTATGACTGAGTAGAACACGGAGATCACCTTATCCCCCTCATTCATTTTCTTAGAAATTGGACGCATGTAGGTAAATATTGTTGAGCCGTAGAAGAAGACAACAACAATGAAATGAGAACCACAGGTAGAGAAGATCTTGAACCTCCCCTCACCTGACTGTACCTGAATCACAGTACAGATAATATTCCAGTAGGAGAAAAGGATAAGGGAGAGAGGACCAAGGAGGATGACCACACCCATTGTAAAGATGGCCATTTCTGCTTTGTAGGTTTCTTCTGAAGCCAATTTCAAGAGTGCAGGAGGTTCACAAAAATAATGATTAATTATGTTCTGTCCATGGTATGAGAGACATAAAGTGAATGTCGTGTCTACTAGAGACACCAGTGTACCACTGGCCCAAGATCCTATGGTCAGCTGGACACAGACTCTCTGGGTCATGATAGTAGAGTAGTGAAGGGGCTTGCAGACAGCCACGTAGCGATCATAGGACATCACAGCTAGGAGGGAACTCTCTGTAGCTCCAGCTACTAGGAAAAAAATCATCTGTAATGAACACCCAGCAAAGGAGATGGTCTTTCTCATTACCAGCAAATGGAATAGCATCTGGGGGACAATTGTTGTAGAGAAACAGAGATCAGTAAATGACAGATTTTTAAGGAAAAAGTACATTGGGGTATGAAGTCGAGAATCAGTGTGAATCAGCACTATGATGAGCAGATTCCCAAACACAGTCAGCAGGTAGATGATGAGAAATACTATGAACAGCATGGTCTGGGTCTGGAGATCTGAAGAAAGGCCCAGCAAGATGAATTCAGTAAAATAGGTTTGGTTTTCTGTTCCCATTGATGTTTATTCCTATTACACATCAGCAGAAGTAGAGAAATCAAAAGTTGACATTGATGGAGCAACAAATCCTGAATTTGAAGATCTCATTGGAAAAACAAATGTGTCTAATTTTTTAAAATTTAAGACATTGGATTTTCTAACATTTCCATCTCAAAGTTCCTACCAAAGCTGTCTAGAAAAGGATGCTAACATAATACATGGCTATGAAAAAATACAGAGTCCTCCCTTTAGTATCAAGCTCATTTTTTTTCTTTTTCCTAGTTTAATTTCATTCAGCAGACTTCCACTTTAAAAGTAATTGACTTTCCTTTTATATTTCCAAGTGTTTCTTTATCATCCTTCTAAGTAGGAAGGAAACGTTAAGAGATTATTTTAGATCATGTTACACCCACAGTCCTAGTCCCTTCCTAAACTTTCACTGGATCAAAGAATCAAGGCTCAATGGCAGTGCTCAAGAGGAAGGCATGATGAGACCTCATCATCACAGAGACAAGACAGTTGAGACGAGGCCAGACTAAGGCAGCACTATATACTATGCAAGTCGGAAGACTGAATGAAGCCACAATAGCTGTCTGCATAGCTGAGTGTCTTATCTGGCATAATATTGTTCGAGCTCTTTCACAGTGCAGTTTGTGTCAGAATATCCAATTGGATAAGTGCATCAGTAGGAAATCAGTCACTGGTCCAGTGCTCTGAAGCCAAACAAGAAACACTGTTCAAAATCTTTACATTGCTGTACATCAGGAATAAGCAAGGAATAATATGGCTGGATCCAAGCTAATATAGAAGAAGATTAGAAAGAGGGAAGATAACAGGATCATGGGAAAATGGCTGGGACTCAGGGCTAACATCTGATATCCCTGGGCAGGATTGAAGAAGTAGTCCTAGAACTGCGTATTGGAACAGATATGTCAGAATGGAATGTCAGCCCACCTGGCAGGGCTATCTTGGGATAGAAAGAAGCCAAAGACTGTATAATTGCTTGTTTTCACACATGAGACATTACATCTAGCTGTCAGTATAGGAAAAATATGATGAAATCAATTGTGTTTGGACCACTGAGTCATGACCTACTAAGTATAACTTGTTTTCAAGATCACTGACTGGACAATGGTAAATTTTCTATTCATGAATTTCCATCCAGATTGGATATGAATGTGGGTTAACCCTGAACAGACAGAGGAAAATTCATGGGCTGCGAAGCACTAGGAAGGACTGGCAAAATTAAATGAGAAATATATTTCCTTTAGATACAGTGCAAAGAGAATACACAAGAAGATCAATTTTAAAAAGTCTGTGATATCAATAGCCAAACAATCACTGCTTAAGTCAGTTCTTTTGAAATCATGCTATATAATACATTAGTAGATAAGAGTGATATTTAATGGGTTGCTACCAGTATTTATTAAAACTAAAATAGAAAATAATATATCTTTTGTAATCATGTAATTTTAGTTTTCAGAAAACATTTGTTTGTTTTATTTGTGTGTGTGTATTATAAGTGTGCACTGTGTTACAATGAAAACAGTCCCTTAGAGTTGGTCATTTTCATAATGTTTAGAAAGATTACTTCTATAATTAAAAGTTCTTAAGAACAAAACACAATCACTGCTTAAGTCAGTTCTTTTGAAATCATGCTATATAATACATTAGTAGATAAGAGTGATATTTAATGGGTTGCTACCAGTATTTATTAAAACTAAAATAGAAAATAATATATCTTTTGTAATCATATAATTTTAGTTTTCAGAAAACATTTGTTTCAGTTTTATTTGTGTGTGTGTATTATAAGTGTGCACTGTGTTACAATGTAAACAGTCCCTTAGAGTTGGTCATTTTCAAAATGTTTAGAAAGATTACTTCTATAATTAACAGTTCTTAAGAACAAAAAAAAACAGAATAATTCAGTACAATTTTCCATTAATTTTGGTAAGATGGGTGGGCCGAGGATGAAGCCTGAGACACATTAAAGTCTAAGAGGAAGAAATGCCAGTGAGTGGGGCAAAGAAGGGCACAAACAAAGGAACAGATACACTTACCAGTAGAACCAAGACAATGTAGTTTCACAGAAGCCACGGAAAAGAAAGTTTCAAAAAAATGAGTAATCTACTGTCAAATGTGGCACAGAGATCCAGTAAATATAAATACAATAAAAGCTGATGGATGTTGGCGGTACAGATATTGTTGGTGAGTCTGGATGTGGAAGTCTGAGTAGAGGGTGAGAGAAGAAGCCAGACTGCTATGATTTTGAGAAGTAAAGAAGAGTTGGGGAAGTGGAGTTAGTGGGTATAAATTATACTTTTATAGTTTTGAATAAAAAGGTACGAAGATTGCAAAATAGCAAGAAGGGAAGGAGAAAGCATGGTAGGCTTTATTACTTTTATTATTATCAGAATAGTGGGTAAGTTTAGCATATTTATAAAACGAGAAGAAAGAGCCAGTTGAGAGAGTTGAAGTTAAAGGACATAAAGATAGAACAAGGTCCAAGAGAAGGCAAAATGGATGTGTTCAAGAAGAGTGTTTGAGAAGTTTGCTTTGGATAGAATTATTGAAACTTTATCTTCTTAGACTGAAGGCAAGGAGGTGAGGATGGATATGAATATTTATGAATTAATAGAAGGAGAAAGAAGATCAGGGAATGAAAGTTTGTGAGGGGCGATGGATTTTAGAGTGATTACATCTGACCTAAATATTCTCAGTTCAGAAGGAAACATAATTATGGAGTAGGCTTGAGAAGAGAGTGAAGTTTTGAATGCTTGGTGAGAATAGCTCATATTGCTAAGTAAAATCAAAAGGATTTCTTGATGGAATTGAGAGAGAAACTATGGTGGAAAGGCAGGAAATATCATTTGGGGGAAGGGATATGTGCAGATATCTTTTTCTCCATTAGGTGTAGAATCAGAGAAGGTAGTCACTGATGGAGAGTTGAATATTAGTAAAAAAAAAAAAGATGGTGTGAGAGATTAAGGTGCAATGGAACTGAGAGAATTCGTGAGAAAGACTTCAAAACCCAACCATGCAGTTCAGGCTGCATAAGGATGAAGAATGATCTAGAGAGAATTTAGTAAAAGAAAATAGTAGAAGGATCAAAAAACATAGTCTTTTTTGAGGTCGAAAAATTGTTGTGAATGCTACTGAAGGCATGTGAGAATTAGAAGAGCAGTAGGTTATAATTAGAGAGTTAATCATGTACTTCAAATTCAGATGTGGACAAAATGCATAGTAATGGGGACAAAATGCACAGTGAATCCATTGGAATGGATGACTTAAATGTCTAAATGTAAGTTTAAAAAATATAAAACTAAGATCAGTTATTTCCATGGACACTGAAGTCATCCAAGACAATGACAGAACTTAGCATTTAGAAGACTATGATCAGAGTGCCATAGACTTCAAAGGGTGTGAAGGAATGACCAAGGTGGTGGGAGATAAAAATGACAAGGACAGAAATAGCCTCAAGGAGTAGAAAATGTTACATGGGAATAGAGATGCGATGGTTTATAAAGTGTTCCTGGGAGACAAGGAGAATGCCAACCCCACCTCTCAACCCACAGGTAAGTAGAGTGTTGAAGAATGATCAGAATCCACCAAAGAGGGCAAGAGGAGTACAAGTTTCTTAGGGAAGAGTCAGGATTTTGTTTAGTTAAGGAAGTGGAAGGAGTATGGTGTAGGAATGTTTGTGTGAGAAGTACCAGGGGATTCAGAGAACATGGACTGATGTTCTTGGGTAAGAGAGTGACGGTGGGTGCACACTGGGAAGTTGAGTCAGAGGAGAGGAAACAGAAAAATGTAAAAAGAGTAGCTGAAAAGATAGCCATTTAAAATTTAGATGATGACCAAGGACATCAGGAATGTGAAGCCTGGTGAGTTAGGTGACATTGAGGTCATGACTTCCTACTAATTTGAGCTCCTTACTCTCTCCCATGCTATGCCTTATCTCTTCCATGATCCTATCATTTTCCTTGGAGAGCACCCCCTCCTGGATTACTACAGCAGTCTCCTAATTGATCCCCCTGGATTCAGTCTTATCTCCTGCAATCCATTTTCCACACAGTGGTGTTATTGAAATCTTAATATTACAAATCTGATGCCACTCTCTTATTTAACATACTTTAATAACTGCTCTCAAGACCATCTCCAATCTTCTTGGCATATTATGCAACATAGATCATGATCTGGCCAGGCTGACCTTTCATCCCTTGTTTCTTACCATGGCCCCTAGCCTACACCTAACCTCTTCCATCCCTACCCAAACTCCACTTTCCTCCATACTGATCAAATTGGAATTATCCAGGAAACTGTTTTCTCTTGCCACTAAGCCATTACATCTTCATCTCTCTCTACCTAGAATACCCCTTTCTTTCTTCTCTATTCCTCATACCCTTGATCCTTTTTCTTGGTTAAAGCTTCTTGGTACTTCAGAACAGTAGCTGTCACTACCTCCTAGCAGCTTGTTATTATGGCACATGCCTGAATTATAGAATATCCTTAATGATTATTCATTGAATGAAGGAGACCAACATCACTGAGGTGTCCAGGACCTAGAGTACGGGTGATGTTTCTTAATCAGCCACATTTCCTAACTAGGTTCCTGCTCCCATTTCTTAACCACTCACTTACAGACACCTCACACATCCCTTCCACTTCTCCAATAGAGATAAAATCCTTACCTCAGACAGGAGATGCTGATGATAGATATCACCGAAGACTGTGTAGCTTGTTCAGGAGAGCCAAATGTGCAAATAGAAATTAGGGAGTAAAGAAAGTAGCTTTTTCACCAGTATTGGGGAGGGTACCAGCCATGAGGAGGTATGTGAGATCAGTGAGTCAGGGCCCTACTATTCTTCGGGCTTTGCAGTCCGTCTCTGGGAATGCGCAGCCTGGTCTCTGAATGGCCTACACTTCTGAGAGAAGGGTCACATAGGAACAAGAGGTTGCCTACCTCTTCTCTTATGAGAAGAGTTAGGTCAGGCCCCTTCTTCAACCCAGTCACCCTG